AATATTAAGCATAATTAGAACCAGAATACTGCCTAATGCTGGGTAATGTCAGAATCATTCATGTATCTCCAGTCTTCATGTCTGCTGTCGTCTAGCTTTGCAGACGCCGCCGAACCCTGGTGTGCCCTGCAAGACGCCTGCAGGTCTGGATGCAGTCCGTGCAGCTGGAGAGGGAGCAGGGCCTCTACCAGCAGGCCTTGCGACGAGACGTACACTTAGGACCCGCGCAAAAGCGATGACACTTGTAAGGGAAAGCGAGCTCCGAGGTTTGCGTGTAAGATACAAACACCTGCAACGAAGCTGAAACTGCACGCTGCCAGCACCTTGCAGGCATTGCACTTGTCGGAGGAGGGCCTCAAGGACACTTGGCACTTGCAGAGCTTGCAAGTTTGTCTTGCAGTGCTCAGCTTGTGTTGCGCCCTGGAGTTCCACCTGCACGCAGTGAGGAGCACCCGTCCTTTGCCAAGCTTTGGATGATCGGCGGACAGATTCACATGGAGAAGCAGATGCCCCAGGAATACATGCCTCAGAGCGTGACCATGCCCATGGTCTCAACGACCTCAAGAGATGCTGTCGCTGATGCTGATGCTGACGATGCTGCCGCGGATTCTGACTGTGCCGACCCTTTTGACTGTGCTTGTGCCGGTGGCTGTGGCGAAGCTGGTACCAAGATGATGACAACGATGATGCGGATGATGTCCATGGTCCATGATTTTTTTGGAGGCGGCGGTGAGATGATGACGTTTGCCATGACCCACGAGCATGAACGCATGTATACGGATGTAAAAACTCATCTACGACGACTGCGAAGACGAGGAACATCTTGCGGGCAACTAGCATCGCATGACAGGGAGTCTGACTGCTTGTACCTGACTCTCTGCATTGGTGCTAGAAGCGTGGCTTGTTGATCGAAGTTTTGTTGCGTTATTTGCGCCAGCTTCTTCAAATCGGCTTTAGACGCGGCCCTCTAGCCTGAAGACACGAAGAGCTCAGAAAGAGGCCCTCGGAAAAACCTAAGAGCTGGCAAAGGTCGCCGCCTGAGCTCCTCGAGGCGGGAGCAGTGCTCGTGGCGCCTTAGGAGGATCAAAATGGTAAAAGAGTAATCTAGTGATAGAGCAGTATCTAAACAGTCATATAGTAATAGTAATATAGTAATAGTCATAGGAGCTTGGACGGAGCGACGATGTTCATGCGGTTTTACCAGGTGTGGGGCTCTCGTGTGTTTGCGTATTACTTAGAGGAGGAGCCTGACAAGTAAGTCTTTCGTGGGCTGTCGAAGTCGAGTATAAAGTACAGTCCCATTTGATGAAAAGGAAGGAAGTAGTAGAGGCACGGTACAGTAGTAGCTTGAGGCGGGCGTCAATGCCAACAACATTGGAGAAGTCGTCTTTAGTCGCTTAGTTACCGCACATGTGGATGGGGCTGTGGCCACGAAGGATGAAACGGGGGTGTTTTGACAGACAGCCGTAAATCTGTAAAAGCCCGAGGCCACCAAGTTCTTCGAGCGTGGGCTGCTGAAGTGCCCACGCACGGAGCTTCGTTTTGGTTCTTGGGCTTAGGGTTCAGGGTTGCGGGGGGAGTTGGGGTTTCTGGCTTCTGAAGCTCCCCTCCATAATGATGGAGATTGGTTCACACCTGATTCGAAGACATGGCCTGTGGAATACAGGGCCCTTGGAAGAAAGCGACTATGTACTGCTGTGCAAATGCTTCTGGCTTAGGCAGTGTGCCTCTATGGCTTTGCGCCGTGGAATGCGAGCAGCAACCCCAGACGCACGATCGGGCTGCACTGAGAAAAGCTGCATACCACCAGCATAGCCGCCCTAGTTTAGAACCTTAGATCCCAGATGCTAAACTTAGCCTAAACACTACACGCCTGCCCGCTTTCGGCATGTGGTTCCTACGTCCACCATACCGTCCGTAATCTGATTTCAACATGCCCTTCTGTCATGACTTTTTCTTGGCAGATGCTGCAGACTGGTTCAAAGTTCCGATAACGAAGGGTCCCTGTGGAGTCTGATCCCGGCTGTCTGACCACTAGCGTCGATTTGGTCGTCCATGTTCTTTTCGTTGGATTGGTACTGCTGCCATACCGTTTGCCCTTCTGCCCCATCGTAACCGCGTTTGTTGAAGTTGAGCCCCTACTGAAGCTTGCTTCACACGCAACTTTCTAGACTACAGGTGGCAGGCGCCGGTGTTCCCATTCACTTTCGCTCAAGAATTGCAGGTTCTTAGATCTGACTTGGCGGTGGCTCTTGTACATCCGCAGGCCTTCAGAGGCAACGTCCGAGCCGAACATCAGAATGTAAAACCTCCGGTTTAGCCTAGATTTTTTCAGCTGGATGCTTTTGGCACTCAGGATCAAGCAGCAGAAGTACACCAAGGCAGGGTCTCTTGCATGGATTGCGGATTGCCTGAACTGCGCTGCCCATCCCATAATCAGCATGCCTCAGCAGAAAGGGGTCCAGCCCGCCGTGAATAGAAACCCTCATGAATCGAAATCGGCTTTCTTCACTTCCTCTTAATCCGATATCATAGAATGAAACCCGACAAAACTCCAAGCAGCCCACAAGACTCCCTTACAAAACCGCGGATAAAGCCTCGCAGCCGATTTAACTCGAAGTAAAGCTCTCTACCATTCACGAAATCCTCGGACCTCGCAAAACTCCAACCTAATTGAGTCCTGCCTTCTCCTGCCCTCTGCGGTTCTGCAGAGGCTCGCTCACTGTTGGAGAAGGCACGCCTACGAAACCCGGGCGGCGACCTCGAGCGGTACGGGGTTATGAGCCTGCTGTATGGTCGCTTTCGACGTGCTTGAAGCACCCCACCTCCTACTTACAACCCCTTTGTTAACACTTTTCAGTGACCAGGTCCTCCACAAGGCGATGATTAGGCTTTGCGCTTTAGGTGAGAATAGCAGGCCTTCGCCCGAGAAGAAATCGGCACCCAACTCCGAAGTCTTCAAGCCCAAACCCAAGGCAGAAGATCTGTAATCTTACGCAACCTAAACCCAAACCCTGGAAGACCAGAAGTCCAAAAGCCCGACGAGGTGCAGATCTTCTTTGGCTGAAAGGCGTCGAGGCCGAAGAAATCTCCACGTTTTGACGGACAACTTTATTCGAAGTTACGTATCATAGGAGGGGCAGGTTGTGATGTGAGAGTGGTATGACTGAGACATCTTGAGGTTCGAGGGTATCGACATGTCGGCTGGGTCACGCAGGGTTGGCATGTTGCCCCCTGTAGTTTGCCCCATGTGATTTTCCAAGAAGCAGAGCCGTCTTGCAGCTCTCACTTGCTCCCTCGTGAAAGCAGCCTCTACACCCCTGAAAGTTCTTGGTTCCGGCCTTCTGGGAGTTGTTTTGTGTTGCCGCCGTTTTCCGCAAGTTTGGCTCAGAAATTTTTTGTGCTGAGCCAGCAGCCTTGGGTACGCGGCATGTCGAATACCACAGAGACCATTAACGGCTTGGAATTCGAGCTGGGGGCGCCTTGTCCGAGTGCTTAGCGGGACTCCCAGTAACGTGGTTCGACACAGATGGAGGGGCGCTGCTTCTCATGCTAACCCTAGTATCGAAGCAGTATTCCGCGGGTGTCTCGGGGTGTCTGCGCTTGAGAATGATCATCTTACGTCGTCCTACACACATATGACAATAGCAATGGACATCATGCTCCAAACCCGGTACCCCAAAATCCAGGAACGCACTCTTGGAGAGACGTTGTCGTTCCTTCTGGTCGCGGCGGTGACATGCACGGTGCTTGAGCATCTGAGCCTTTGCCTGCAAGAGTTCATGGTTGGAGACCCAGGGTTTAGGGCCTAAGGTCCAGCGTCTTGGGATAGTTTAGGGATAGTGTTTTTAGGTCTTTGGATTGGTCTGTTCCTTCTTGCACTCTTGCACGGCTGAAGGATTGTGGTGTTTTTGGCCAGGGCTTCCGGGGCTCTGAAATACGTATCTTCCAAGTGCTGGCACACCTGAGATTGCATGTGTCATTGCCTTTCAACCTCATATACCCCACACACGCGTAAAGACACGCTTCAGGCCTGGGCAAATCCCCCTTACAGCAACCGACACAACCAGGGACTGGTTAGTGCCGGTCTGCTGGGGTCTAGTGGTTTTATATCAACGGAGTACGTTCAAAGGGTGTTAGGGTGGATGTAAATTTAACGTAAGGGGGCTCAATCTAGAAGATGCAAGAACGCGTGGCAGTATTCATCTGGGCTGGGGCTCTACGCACGGACTCAAAGGCTGTGTAGTCCAGGAGTGTTTGCAAAAGTTTTATTAGCTCGGATGAGTCATGAACGGCCCCCAGACTATCGACGGTTGAACTATGCTGGTGAGTTTTTTGGGTGGAGATCCCGGTCCGGACGCTTTCGACAGGAGAGTTCCGTGGGATTCGGGGAGCATCGTAGCTTCAGGCGGACAACGATGCAGCCGTTCCAAAGAGAGGGCGCAGAGTCACTTCGATGGTATGGAGTCTTTGGGTAGGTGTGAGACTCCCACGCACAACATCCTACGCTTTCCCTTTAAAATTTCCTACCACTCGTCGAGCAGTACCCAGCAAACACATTGCAAAACACAACTGCCCACTTGCTACTCCCCTGAGGCAGGAATTAAATTCTGCCCTGGAACTTGGCCGCTGCCTCCCCGAGGAACTCAAAATTGCCCTCCTGCATCCGACTTCCCATCTCCGTCGTCCTCTTCGTGGCGGGACTTCTCATAGGACTATCATAGCTCATGCTGTTTGGATTTTACAGCTCCTTCTAACAGGTCGCCAAGTCCGAAAACTTATCGCAGATTTCGACTTACACCCTCCGAGATTGTTTCCAAGGCCCGAGCTTGAGGAATCGACCCTGCTGTGGATCGCTTCCCTTCGGTTTAGGGCTCAGGGCTTTAGGGGTTAAGGCGGTTAAGGTTGAAAACGTTGATTTCTTCAGGGTATTGCAAGTTTTCTGGGTCTTGTAGTCCAGCAACATCTTTGAACAAGTCCCCCCGAGAGGAATACTAGTGATGGACTTCTTGGCCGAGAGAGCTGCGAGGTGGCACGTTGGGATACTTTGTTTAGTGAGTTTTAGCGCTGTGTATAATGCTTTCGGATGCTGCAACCCAGGTTAAGGAATCCTTTGTGACGGAGCTGGTGGACGGAGTCTTGCAGCTTGACTTTCCCCCGCAAGACCCCCGAATTTTCAAACTCCCAGCTGCCGCAAGCGAAAGAACGCTAGTCGGGTTTTCGGTTTTGAGGGCGTTTGCACGTAGTTCAAACTGAAAACTTAGCAAGACGGCTAAACATAGCCGTAGTCTTTGTAGTCTTCACCGCCAAGCACACCGCCTTAAATCCCAGTCCGAGGCGCGTTGCAACCCAGAATCCGAAATCTCTCGCAAAGTGGATCTCTTGCAGCTTGTTATCCCACGTGTTTTGATACCCTAAAGCCTAGGGAATATAGTGTAGTGGCCACCAGGACCGTCAATTCCAGCATGTGTCCCGTTTTAGTCGGGTTGAGAGGGGACAGCCTCCGGCGGTCGCGGTGACTCATGCAACAAGCTTCTAGATTGCGATTTCCACAGAGCATGCTCTGCATCAGACATATTCGACACTAAACCCGAAAGCTTTTCGCCTGGAATGTATTTCTAAGGCAGGCCGGCTGGTTTGAGCCCCATGCGCTCTTTTTCATTCTGCTGCCTCCGCTCCTCTTCGAGAGCTCCAGCAACATGTCCTGGCACGTGCTGAAGAAAGTGCTGGCATCTCGGCGGAGTGGATTGCTCACCCATGGTTTCAATAGGTGTGGTGAGAGGTTTTGAGCGCCGAATCCATTTCGGGTTTCCTAGATTCGAAAACTGCTGTTCTAGTCGCTACCTAATCCGGGCATCGCCTTCACTGTGTGTTCTCGCCAGGCGCTACGACATGACTTCTTTTAACGAGAACCCCTGTCCAATCTTGTCAAGCACCTGAAACTATGTTGGCAAAGAGAACTTTCTTCCAGATACCAAATCCTTCCCGCGTCATTCCAATTGCAGACTCGAAAAGGAATCCATGCTGAGTCCTAGGCAATCCACAGGCATTTTCAAGGAGGGTTCCGTGCTATCTGTCCAGATAGTGCCATATGGATCAAAGCACATGGTGCACATTTCTCAGGTGTCTTCCTACCTCCTAGCCTGGCCTGGTGTCTTGGTGAACACCCTCCTCACCGGCAGCGCCGTGCGAGCGACCTTTGGCACGGTCTTATTCGGTACTAAAACATCATGTCGGGTTATGCCAGGCTCCAGGCTCCGCCTTCTGAAGTCTCTGATATTCCATGGAACCTTGGGAACTCAGCTTAACGTAATTCCTGAATCCAAACATCTTGGTGTAAACCAGGTCAGACGAATTTAGAGAAGAGAAGTGAGCATCCCAAGCCCTAAACCCTGCCCCGAAACCCAAAAAGGAAGCTTGAGCTCCTCAAAAAAAGACAATGGTGCTGCGCTGAGGATTGTGCAAGTCAATCACGCGCCGCCCTCCTGGGAGGCTTCCTTCCTGCTAGGCGCCTGCCGGACCCGACTTTCCACTAGCTTCGGGTTCTTTCGGGGAAACTAAGTTACCATCATACCATGATAAGACACGCATGTAGGTTGCGTCTATAATGGATAGCTTACTAAGTTCCTGAAGATGATCCAGTCTACCACGAAGGAGCTTGACTAGCCTTCAACTTCCTGGCCCCTGCGCATTTCATGCTGGGCTTGACATGCTTCGTGCAGCCTTTGCAGAAAGTTAGGGCACTTTTCTACGCTGCTAGGAGCTCGGGATTGGGGAAGTTAAGGTTCCTAAGTTGAAGATTGCTGATGCTGGCACCTCTTCCTCTGGGAAGCTCCCTGTTATGATGTATTGTTACACATACGACTGTTCCGATGACTTGCAGAGTTGGGACCTTTACTTCTTCGGATGCTTGATGTCACATCCCTTATTCGGGGGCTCGTCCATGGACCCTTCTGCAAGAGCTTGTTCCATTTTTGCAGACCCTGCGGACACTCACGGGTCGTCCTGGATTAGTGTAGACCCCCTCTTCAAGGACCATACAAGCAGCGTACTTGTTTATGTGCTTGAAGGGAGGGAAGGGCAGAAGTGGGGGTTGACACAATCAGGGGTTTGCCTCTAGATTCTAGATTGCCACTTGACAGAGTGATGAGTATTTCCGAACGGGTCAGGTTTCAGTTGAAGCGTGGTCAGAAACTCTAGTAGTCCCGTGTCTTGCGTCAGCCTATTTAGCTTTTTTCTTTGGCACAGGCAGTGGCAGTGGTTCTGGAAATGTTCTGTTGACGAGGTCTGCGAAGCTTGCTCACGCTGCTTTACCATTCCCAAAACTTCAACACCTGTAAGAACGCCCCGTATGAACAGGTGCTTTGAACCTTAAACAAAAGCCTAAAAACCTAAGTCCAAAAAACACAAACCTGTGACCCAAAGCCTGGACTGAAGCCTTGTGCCCCTATGAGGTGCCATCCTCTCAGCTACCGATCCGGTGGCGGTCGTGGCGGCCCTCAAGTGCCCTTGCTTTTGATTGGATGGGCAAGAAGAGTTTAGGCGCTTGTAAGGGGTTTAGGGTTTGGGGGGCAGCCCTATGCCGCAGCGGTACAAAACCACATATGTTTAATATGCTATTGTTTGTTTGGTTGTTTTTTTGTGTGGCCCCAAAACCCCGACAGATCCTGCGAACGCCAGGACCTTGGGTGCTCCGGCCAAGCTGAGCACCTTGGTGGACGGAGAGCGCCTGGGCTTGGAGGTCAAGGGGGTCCCTGGCTCGGGAATCGTCTTGAGCGCAACGCGGTCCAGAAACCAACGGCAAGGACTGAAATAACAAGAACCCGACCAAGAGGGGATGGTGATGATGATTGTCATAATGCAGGTTTCGAAACATCTCCCAGTTTCTCAAGCACCACTACCAGCAGCACGAATTCAGAGCCCACACACACACACACACACCCTTGGACTCTGGACTGCTGCCGACGCGAGCAGCACTGGGACCATAATCATCATCATCATCATATCAACATGATCATCCTTGCAGTTGGCATCGCAGTGGCCGTCATCATGACCCTTCAACTCCATTTGTAATGGGGCTGGATCAGAGCTTCATACCCTTGCCGCCCTTGCCTGCGTTCGTACTCATGCTGCCACTGCGCCCTCACAGACTCCAACAGGGCCCTCCGTCCCTCTGGTTGGAGTAGGACTTCTGTTCGTGTTTTTCGGCTGCGTGAGATGTCCTTATTACCTTATGCCTTATGCTCCGACGAAATCCAAACGCTGATCTGTCATCTTTGTTGCGGACTTTGAAAAATCTTGGAAGTTCTCGGTGAGCTACTAGGGAATCTAGGCCAAGAGGCGCCAATCCTCGCAAGCCCTTGGGTTCATTACAGGGTTTGGAGTGCAGGGCGAGACTGGAGAGGCACCCATCAATTGCAACCAAGTTTGGGTCTTAGGGTTTTTTGCTGTAGAAGTCATCGACATGCAAGGAGTTTGGTGAATGATGGCTCGGCAGTGGTGGTAACCTATGTGTTCATGGAGCCCCTCGGCTGCAGTTCACCTTCAGGATAAGGTCCAGAGTGTGGGCTTCCATTTGGGTGTCTGCAGCCTGTTTGGATGTCTTTACATTATTTGAAGATGCCCTTCTGTATATCTAAAGGTCCGCTACTCTTCCGACACTGCCAACTGAGCTTCCAGCCATCAGACTCTGAGGTCTTGGGGGCAACGAAGCAGGCAATCCTGAGGTCCCCAGCCCTTCCCCTGAGAACCCCCCCGTTTCAACGGACGTTTTGCACTTTCCCGCTGTTACCGTGACTGTGATCGTTGTTGTCACTATGATGCTATGACTATGAACGTGCTCACTTTTGCAAGACCCTCCCTTCAAAAGGACCGCGGTGGTGAGGCCTCCAAGGGGAGTCAATTGCAGTGCGTTCTGCTGGACTTGTTTGTTCAGACGTCCTCAGAGCCGTAAGACAAGCTGCATTTGCTACCCAACTACAAATGCTTGAAGTACGGCTACCTATCTCCTAGATGCGTCACAAGCAACCTAAACATCCAAGCAGAGTTGTCTGATTGAGGGAAGATGTTGGCTTGTCACAAAGCTTCGACAAATAGACCGCGCTTTTCGGGTCATCAGCCTGTGTTCCGCGATGCGTATCTCCTTAAGTACCCAACAAAAGCCAAAGACGTGGCTTCAAAGCATGTTGCAGACCAGCAACACACAGCTCTAATCAGAAGCCAGGGCATCGGTGTTAGACTTCGGGCTTGGGCGGCGTCGGGATGGACTACAGCCCTGTAAGCCCGAAGCACGCATAGAAACCCTATGAAGCACCTTATGCCCCAAAGCGGTGAGAAGAAGACCGGTGCTGTCGCCTCCCCGTGAGCATAAGAACCATTTTCCAAAGCTGCCCAGAAACGCGCTGAACCGGTGTATTCCCGCCAATTGGGGTATTTGCGCATGGCTCCGTCGTGTAACCCCCAGGCTGACCATCGGAAAACGATTCAGTTTCTAGGCTCCAACTAGTGACATGCCGCGGAAGTCCAGGTGGGCCTGCGGCGTCCGACCTTAAATGAAACACTCAAGCCCAGCAAGTGTATTAGAAGGTGGGTCATGGGTTCGCTGGCGCCCGCCTCTGAGAAGCACCTTTGCTCAACTGTTTGAGATGTGGTCCAGAGCGGTTTCAGCAGTTGGGCTCCGGTTGCTGGTTGTATTCTTTGATGCCTCAGGTGAATGGCCGTCGATTTGCGGGGTGCAGGCGTTTGCATTCGATGACTAGGAAATCGGGATAGTGTTCAGGGTTCGAACTGGCACATCACATTGTCCGAGATGTTGTCTGATGCGCTTTGATACTGGGCTTGCCAGACTGTACTTCGAAATGCAGCAAGCTTGTATCTTGCTTAGTCTTATCACTTACTTCTTCCAAATACATGGGTAGTTCTCTAAATTAGGGTCCTTGTTTGTAAGGGTGCCGTGCTATCTTGGGTACCTAAGATGAACCCTAATTTAGAGAACTACCCACATGTGCAGAATGCAGTTGCATCCAACGTTCACATGGTTCGTCACAGGCATGTGTTTTTGGCATGTCTGGGGGGACGGGAGCGAGTAAAGCTCTCAAGAACTGATCATCCTACGAAACTCCGAACATAAAGCTTCAATTCACGCATCAGTTTCAATAATCGAAGACAAGCTCGGAGCAGAATCCAGCATCAGCAACACAGGACAGTTGCAGATGCCTGAATAGACTCTACCGAGTCTGGGTCATAAACCTGCGAAATTTACGGAGGTATTGCCCCACCTCGCCGCCGGCTGTTCCTTGTGCACCATGTCCTGCATCTGGCTCGGGTCTGCTTCCTGTCAGCTTGAGAACTTAGCAGAGACACGGAGAGAGAGGTGTACAGTAGGGAAAAAGTGGGGAAGGGGATTCAGGCCGAGGCCAACACGGCGAATTAGCGCGAAACCAGCATTGCGCCTGGGGGCTCAACGAAACGAGAAATCATCCTCGAAGCCTGCCTTGGCTCCAGTAACTGTTTTCCTCGGCTCTTCTGGAGGCCCTCGGATTTGTAGGACGAATTCTGCGTCTTCTGAAGTGGTTGTCACCGCACTCTTTGTCACAGCCGGCTGCTACATATGCATCTCAGGTGGTGCAGTACTTTGTCCAAGTCGCTTGTGGCTCGGCCCATCCCAGAACTCGTCACGGGCGAGAACGCCGGTTACAACGACCATCACAGCAGCTGTTCTAACCATACCTTGAACACATATTCTATTGCATGCTGATACGTGGATAAAGAAGGTGACTTGCAGGTCAGGTTGCAACATGCAAATTTAATGCAATTTCAGCTCATTGCTGCGCTTATGTAATGACATGCAAGACGTAGAGGAGAGCACGCCTGTTGGTCTGTCCGTTTTTCATGGCTGAGCGTCCAGGCACTATGTGTATTTGCATCTGTTTGTTGTTTGAATCTTGTGTCTTAGCCGTCTTCGCCTTAGCTTCCTGATCAAGATGATCTTGTTCGTGAACTACAGCCTGTTCCCCCTTCCCTTCACTAGTCAGACGCCTTGCATTGACGCATTTATTCTCTTGCACTGTTTCATTCCAGTCATGACAGAACTTGTCTTATGCGGTCGTATTCTGATGCCCATCAGTGAGGTGGATCGCGAGGGCCTTGTTTTCCAATCAGCTTAGTTGCACCCAGGATCTCCGACTCTAAGTCCCCAAATCCCCGAATGGAGTTTTCAGAAGATACTTGTTCCTTGCATCGCGCTCGAAATAATCGGATCGTCAATATCAAAATCCCAAGAGGCAGCCTGCAATTATGAAAAAGTCCAAAACCTGACCTCTCCCAAGCCGAAAGCCGAAACGAGAAGGTGGGGGCACCCTCATTGGCATCGCAGCAGGGTGGATTCTTTACGCGTGGCTTCTCTCAGCCCCTCTGCTCTTTGAGACAGCAGGGTAGTAGGTTGAGAGGTTACGGGCTTCTGGCTTAGGCTCGGGTGTAGGGCTGCGTGGGCACTTGCAAAACAGTCAAAGAGTGTCACACGGTGATTGCGTTAATTCTTATGCTAAGACGTAGGGATGCTTCGTGCCAGTGACTTCGATTATCCTTCATAGAACTGCTTCTGCAACTTCTGCCAAATGTCTTGTGTTGGTCGTCACTCAATTAGCTATTGACTCCTCCTTCCTGTTGTGGTTTTCATTTTTACTGGTCTTATGTGCAGTTTGGGCCTGACGTTGCTTATCCTGATGCTGATGTTGATGATGCAGACGCTGATGATGATACTAATGCCGTTACTGTAGCACTACTATGGCACTATGGTCAGGCTGGTGAATGAGATGACTGCAAGATAAGGATTCGCTTATATAACAAAGGTAAGGGGTGTAGCGATCAGCAGAACTCAACTCTAGGATGCAGGTCCTGAGTTACACCTTCTGCAGGTGTCAAAATTCAGGGTTTGCTGCGATGAACTTGTTTTCCCTCGCCTACCTCGGTAGGAAGTGAAGACAATCCTGGAAACAACGAAGGCATTGGACTGTTGGGTGCTCATCTGTTCGGCGTGCCTTCTCTCTCGCTCACGGGTTCGAGGGCTGGCGTTGAAGCTGCTTGCGTCCGGCTTCGGATTTGGGCTTCTCCTTGCAGCCAGGTTCTGAGGGGAGTCTCGGACTTGGGAAACACAACATCAAAGCCACACATCTCACAGGATTTCAGAGGCATGGCCTTGAAGAATCCTTTCGACTCCAAAGGTCCGCTCACAGCACGTCCTCATGCAGACAACCTCCATTCTGGCCGCTTGGCACGGTGCAGCGACGCCAACCCCCTGATGCTCTGACTGTTGCAATGCTGAAGCCTCACACCTCGTCACACCTCCACTTCTCGGAGCTTTGGAGTGCAGGTGGAGCCACGTCTCGTCGGGTCCAGGCAACCTACTACAGACGCTAACGGTTCTGATTCCTTTCAGTTCGTGCTTTAAATTTACAGCGGCATCACGGAACCAGAGAGATCATAGCAGTCGCGGCAGCAGTGGCAGGAAGAGAAGTCGTCCTCGCCTTTGTCCTGCTTGTTGTACCAATAAGTTAAAACTGAGTACAGGACCAGTTCAGAAGCTGAAGACTGGTGGTGAGGAATAGCCCCAATACTCCGCTGCAATCTGTTGGCTGAACCCTAAACCCGCAAACCACAAACCTTCAGGACTCTAATTCTTGGAACCCCAAACTTCACAATCCAAAACGTTCAGGTGGTGGTATACGCCACTTGCTTCATCGCCGAAGGCCCGGACTGCGGTTTGATATGCTCATTGCTCCGGGTCCATTGCGGCACCCCACAGCCTCATCGTATATATGCATGTATGTGTGCAGGCATGAGGGTTCGGGATCGAACGGCCGTCAGGAGGCCAGTATTGCCTGTGACCCCAGTGTGCAGTGGCACACGTCATCGCCTTCGGCGCGCAATTCCGGCTTCACCTCCCTGGCATCGACGCCAGCGACAACAGCGTGCTGTAGCACGTAAAATCATCTGGAAAGCCAGACAACGGGGGCAACCAGGTCCCCTGAAGGCTGCCAGTTTGCTGGCAGCACATCACTCGAAGCCTCAGTACTTGGAGTTGATGGGAAGAGGAGGTCGCCAGCCACCATGGAAGCGCGAAGAAACAGGCGAGAGCTATCAGGATTACAAAGACAACCGCGGACGCCAGCCAAAAGGAGACAAGTCCTGGGACTACTGGCGTGGATCGTGGCCTTCTCCGAAAGGTACCAGGCAGCAGGAACGCTACGATGCTGCCCCTCTTCCGGAAGAGCGAGCTCAGCCGACTCCCAGCCTGAGCTTTTTCATGAGCGATGCAGATTCGTCTCAGGCACCCCCAGCCTTGCGCGAGATACAGAAGTATCTGTCGCAGGCTCAGCGTGCCGATACCAGGCTGCGAAAGTTGAAGGAAGAGCAGGACAAAAAGTCCAAGCACTGGGAAGTGTACGAGCAGCAGATGAAGCAGAAGTTTGCACGTCAGAGGCGTGCATTCGAGGCGGACTTGCAGCGCATCGCCCAGGATGCACAGGAGGCCGCGGAACAAGGACAACAGGCTGCACAGAAAGTCAAGGAAGTCGTGCTGCGAGGCCGTGTCGAGAAAGACGATCCAATGGAGATGGAAAATGCGGCATGGGACGCTCTGACGAAGACCGAGAAGGAGGAACCCGTGCGCAATGGCTTCCTGCAGGAGGCACTCAATGCGGCGCAACATGGCCAGCCGCACATGCCCCCAGGTATGACGACCGAGACGGCCAGGGAACCACCGGGCCGTGGACTACCTGCCGAAGACCCAGCTCTCCGAGGAGTCGCCAGAGCACCGACGACGACAGCTGCTCCCCCACCTGGACTGGCAACACCTGGGCCGGCAGTCCCAGGTTCAAGGTCTTATGTTGGGGCCGGCCCACCAGATCCCTACAAAGCATCAGCCATTTTGCTTACCGCAAGCCGTCGACTTCTCCAAGGGTGAATCCTTACGAGACTGCAAAGGGGCCGCCAGTTACGATGCAGCCCCCTGGCACGGATGCGAACCCTGCGCTCGAGGCCAAGCTGGCAGCCAATCGTGCCCTCAAGGCTTTCGGCCTCCGCACCGTCAATGTGGATGGAGGGCCAGGGCAGGAGAATGCAATGCCAGCGGGCCCACCCAAGCTGGTGAACGACGACGAGGAAGACGAGCTATCCAAGACCGGGACTCTTCGAGACCCTGGCGGCATGGACTGAGAACGTGTAGGTTGGGGACCTTACGTGACCAAGGCTTTCCTGATGAGGCTTTCCGCCTGGTACGGCCTTTTGTGTGTGCGGGACAATCTGTCCTGCCACAAAGAATGTTCCGTGTCGGGCAAGGAATGTTTTCTCAGCAGAGCTGGAAGTTGCGAATGTGTTCCCAACGGCTTCACCGTAGTCCTAGACCCGCTTGTTTCGGCTTTGGTGCTTTGCTCTACGGGTTTTGTTCTGACCCAGCAGTGTCCACTACTGCATGTTGCCAAACGGGAGGGCTTGCCGTCTACCATTGGGTTTTTGGTAAGGCGACCGGCCCCCTCGAGTCTTCCTCTGCTGGCGACAGGGAACGCTTTCTTGGCGCGCTCCTGATCCCAGCCCCGCCTGGATTTTATGCAAGTGCCGCCCACTGCCCAATTGCTCCAGACCAGCATGCAAAACTCCGAGCACAGTATGGTTGCAGACATCCCGCTAGCCCTCTTTTTTTTGCGCAGAGTGGAGGACACTTGGAAAAAGCGCACAGTTCAGACCGACAGGCCGAAGTCAAATCAGTGCCAAAGAGGCGTATCGGTGGCTCAGGGACGCCCACTAACGACTTCCAGCCGCTGTTGTGTCTGTGTGCGAGCTTTGTCGATGGCGCTGCCAGCACTCTTTGCGCTTGTGGCAGGAGCCTGGCAGGATACATTTTGGCCGCGCTGTGCGCAATTTTGTTCCGAGCTGTCCCGCGGCCACTAGTATGTCGTCCAATTCGGAGATTCTTACGAGAAGGCAAATTTGAGAGAATCGGCTTGAGCCTGTCAGGTTATGCCGTTAGTCAACTGCAGGCACCGCCATGCAGAAACTGCCGCTGCAGCCGAATCACAAAAAGCCAAGACACCACTCCTTTCCGCCTTGCCCGTTTTGCCAATGCACAGGTTCTGCTGGCTCTAGCGTGGAGCCTTCCTTCCTGTGTTTGGGCCGCGCCCCAAGGCCTTGGAGCGACACTGAATGCTGCCGACATTATTGTTCAGAGCAGGCCTGAACCAATTGGGGATCCCCCCGCTTTTGGGTCTAGTCACTGTCTAGTCCTACCCGAGATAGAAGCCGGTGCCCCCCCTGACGTATCGGGGCAATCATGTGCTGCCGATAGCCAAGGCAAGAATCCTGAACTCATTGGGGTCACGGCGTACGCACCGGGATTTCAACCAATGTGTTTCGCGTTGCCCTTCGCACTGCCGGCGAGAATTGAGGACCTTGCAGCAAGGGTCCGAGCGGAAGCCTTTCAGCAATACCCTGGCCTACATTTTGCGACACCTGTTGCACAGCAGCGCCACAACGGCTATGCTGATTTTGTCCTGCACTCGGCTGAGGATGATAGAAGGCATCAAGTTGCCGTCATCGTTGATCTCTCGCGAGTCGGGGGACATTATCATGCCTCCACCCAGCCCGCGGCACTCGATGTTGATGCATTTCTAGACCAGGTTTTACCACACACATGGGCAGACGACTGTGAGCTGCGCCTCTGGATTTCAGGAGCAGAACAGGGTCCAGCAGCCGGGGGCAAGAAGGTACAGATAACTCATGGTGACGTGCTAACTGTGCTGAGGGAAGGAGTCAGTCCAGCCAAAACTTTCTGCTTACACAAGCTCGTCGAAGGGACTGAGCCCGTGGGTGCGATCCACCATATGCCATCGTATACATGCAAATACCCGGGGATTGCTGTTTTGTGGCACTCGAAGTTGTTTGTCCTTCACAAGCACTATTTCCCAGGCCAGGACCTTGTCTCAGCGCTCGGAACTGCGATCCGGCGCCCGGTGCAAAGCTTTGGAATTTCGCAAACCGATGCAGTAGCTCGCCTAGAAATCGCTGGCGACCACTGCTCACAGGTGATATACGTTGCTGACAGCACTGCGAATACTGATCACGGTCAAGATCCAGCTTTGCCCGCCCTGGGCACAATCGCACCACTGATCTCCCTACTGTGCGATGCCAGACAAATTGGCCAAGGCATGCGTGTTCTTGAGATTGCAGATCAAGCAAGCTCTCATGAAATCCTTGAGTCTCTCGGGGTTCAAGGGGATTTGAAGGATTTTGTTGTCGCTCCAGCAGTCCAAGACAACAGCCACGAAGTCGAGCAAGGCCTACAGACAGTCATCATTTGGGAGCGACCAACCGCAGCGGCCGGATCAGCGCAACTCCGAGCCATTTCAGGTCCTAACCTCCTTCAGCGACTGTACCAAGGAGATGCGGGACCGGTCCCGGGTTTGATCCACCAGCCTGCCGAGGACCCTGTAGGCCCTAATGGTGACAATGACCAGGACTTGTGGGTAGCTGATGTAGATGCCGAGTCAGACGAGGAATCCCTCGAGAACGAACTCTTTCCGGTCAATTTTCTCGTTGTTCGGCTTGACTGTGCCCCAATTGAGGTCAACACGGCATTACGAATGCCGGCCACCGTTGCAGATGCCATGGATGCTGTTGCTCTCAGCATCGACCATGAGGTCTACCTGCATTATCCACACTTTGTAGCGGCCAAGCCGCAGCCCCAAAGTGAATGGGGCACTGCACTTGCGCTCCCACATTGGGCGCACCGCGAGCCGATCGTTATTTTTGACTTGCGACAGATAGACGGGAGGATATTCGCAGCGTCCCTTCCTGAACATGCCAACGCGGAAACTATCTGCGCCGCTGCCAGTACTCCTTTTGTTGATACTGTCGCTGTCTACCCCTACGGGGTCACCGAGCCGCTCGCTGCTGATGAGACCATTGAGCCGAGGACAGGAGGAAGCATTCTTCTCCTCCCTAGAGACCGTCGACCCCCGGATCCGCATTTTCTTGTTGCGATGCTTGTCTCCAGACGCGGATGGAACGCGGACACACCGCTTCCCCGCGGACCAGGCGGTTTGCGCAGTCCACAGTTGTGTCTCGTTCTTGATGACGGCTACCGCCTGCATACACTCACAAACCGTCCAGGCGAACACATTGAGAGCCTAGCGCGTGAGTATGGGCTGCATCCGCAAACCACAGTAGCGCAGGCAACCAGGCCGCGCATCCTCGACGCAAGCATACGAGGGTTTTGGTGCAAGGGGGTTGGTTTAGTATCAGGGAGCCTACCGACCGTACCCGGTGCACCGGGGCGAGTAAGACAGGATGCTTTCCTAGCAGTTGTCGATTGCAGACCCATCTGTCAAGGATGGCAACTTCTCATTGTGGAGAACCGTGTCTGCTCTCACACAGAGCTTGTTGAACACTTCGCCACATTCATGCCAGAGGGTTACCAGCCACAGATCGACGGTGCCCCGGTTGATGGAGATCGTGTTGAACTGCAGCCAGGGACAGTGTTGACTGTCCAATACGTCCCACTCACTTCTGCTTCAGAGAATGAAAACGACTCCAGTTCTCAATCCTCTGAAGCCGATGAACCAGCAGCTGAGACCAATGCAGGGGAGACGGACCAAAATGCCACCCGGCCGAACACCAATTGCGGCCGCAGCCGCAGCCGATCGCCGCGACGCGAAGGAACTGATCCGCGGAGTCGTCAAATTAAAGGCCTGCGACAAGTCCTGCGTCGTGCTGCAAGCCAACTCTTGCTTGCCAAGCAATTGAGGAAAGAACCACCAGATAGCCTGGGTCGTGATGACAGTTGTATCGTTGGTCAATGCCTCACCGTCGCAAGCATAGATCTTCATGGTTTCAGCATTCTGGATCGTTGCCAAGCTCACAGAGCGCCCTGGTGCTGTCAACATGTCCATCAAAACGCATCGCGTACCGGACCAGCGCCGCGCTGCAGCTGGGCAGGCACAGGCCGACGAACCAGCAAGGCCCCAGACGACTGCATGGGCCCCGCAGGATGGCGTCGGTGCCCCGCCGCCCAACTTTCAGGTTGATAGGCCAGATCAGTTCGCCGACATTTTAGAAGCGACCGAGCCATTTGACGCATGCTTCGTTGTCTTCCGTCCGGACTACAGCCCAGAGATTGTAGAGGTGCGGCTTGGGGCTCCGTCCCCCTTGATGAATGCACTTGCTGCTGTCTCCGAAGCCCGACACCCCCATGACCGCAGGGATTTTCCGATCCTAGTCCCGGTTCACCCACAAACCCGTGCAGGCACAGGATTCGTTCTCGCACAGCCGGATTGGGAGTTTTTAGGGGTACATGTCCTCTTCGATTGTAGTGACTTTGATGGGCGCCTCTTCAGTACTCTCACAGCGCCTGTCCTTGAACTTGCCTCAATCCTTAGCATTGCCGATGTAGCCGCGACTACCGCAGTCCAGGTGTTCATTGGAGATGCGCCATGGCCGCTAGAACCCCGAGAACCAGTTAGGATCCAGGAAGGAGACTGCATATCCATCATGCGAGCTGAGCATGGAGTCATGATTCTTGCCAGTCTCGCTGATATGCTCCTCTCTGCACAAGGCTGGATGCAGACGTTCGACATCCCAGGGGACAGCAGCCGGGGTCTCTGGGTTATGACTGACACCGAACCATTTCACTATGCGATCCAACCTGATCGAGCGCAGCATGTGCGCCAAGACATTGCCGATCACATAGCGTGCCCGGTTGCCAATTTGCGCCTTTGCCCGACCACCGCGCGTTGCAGACCATGCCGATCGGGGAAGGCTCACAGTAACCGCACTGGTTGCCACTTCTTCATTCCACCCAGGAACCAGACGGCACCTGCATCCCATCTGCATACTTGATCTCCGCCCCCTACTGCTTGGCCTCACGTGGCAATTCACAGCCGACGGCTACCTTGATCAGGAGGCTCTCATGCGAAGGCTTGCAATGCACCGGCCACTTGGTTTCGAATTAGTGCTGGAAAGTGGCGGAAGGGTAATCGACCCAGAAGTGATCAACTGGGCTGTCCATGACGGCGAGTTGCTTACAGTCAGGGCCAGGCCGGAACAGCACTGGCTTCACAATGATTCCGAGGACAGGGAAGGTCCGCAGTCTCCCGACGACCACCTCCCGCCAGAAGACAGCGACTCTGAGCGCCAGGATATAGGTAACCGGAATGCTGATACCTCAAATACCGGCACGGATGCTCAGGGTTCTACAGAAAGGGGTGGTTATCAGGGAGATATGTCGATAAACCCGGTCAGTTATCGCAAGCGTGCGGGTATGTCCCGTGTGAAGCATTGCGGCAATGGGCCTTTTGGGGCATTTCTGTCACGCGCCCTCGGTGCCCTTGCTGGTGCTGCTCTAGTGCATACCAACAGAGCCATGCAACTTCGAACGCCGCCGTTTTCCCCTACAGATACCGCAATGCCGCCAGCAAGCAACGACTTTGCAGCTCAGTGCCGAGCACAAGGCAGCATATCTACGTGCCTCCGCCACGTGGGATCTGTCGTTAGTGAAGGACTCTCTACCAGACCGAGGGCACTGCCAACCCCTTGCAGAAACGACACTAATTCCTACACCGAGCGCCAGGCAGCTCCCTACTGCCATGGTCCGAAAAACTGGACCAGTGTTCCTGTTGAAGACGAAACCTTCCTTGATGAGGTCGGAGTGACGCTTCTTCAGGCTGCCACGCGGGAAGCACAGCACCGGGCGCTATGGGAGACGCATACTCTGCTAGAGACGCTGATAGACCACTTTGCATCATCATCCGATCTTGCCAATAAAAGTGGATCTCCCGCCGCCGGTCCAGCTCAGACCTCTGACGAACTTGCTGATAGAGATGCGGGGTATGAGGAGATGCCGCAATGTGTCTCCATAGCCAAAGCTCTCGGCCCCGCAATATATGACCTCACTGACCACACTGTGCGTTTGCCACATGACCAGTCACTTGTTGAGGTTTTGCGACTGCCCTGGCCTGTTGACTGGTTTTTGCCGACTTACGAGCACTTGCCCATGCCGCAGGAGACTCGTGCCCACCTTGACTCCGGTTGCAGTTGGAGCACTTTCTTGCAGGATTTAAAGGGCGCAGAAAAGCCAAGCCTCGCCATCTACACTGATGGGTCGTGGACAGAAAACAGGCATGCCGGAGGCTATGCTACTGCCTTTGTGCTGAACAATGCGAACCAGCACTGCCTCATTGGGGCACTCAGTGGCAAGACCCATGGCTCTGCCGACAATCCATGGCCAACTGAACAGGCCGCGCCTGCTCTTCGTAATGAGGAAATAGCGATTGTAGCAGCGATTTTATGGCTCCTCCAAAGCCCTATTGCAAATTGGTTTCAGGATGTGACAATTTGTTTCGACTGCCTAAGTGCTGGCAATGCAGCCAACGGGGAATGGACGCCTGCAACGGAATTTGGCACCAAGCTTCGTGACCTCCAACGTTGGGCTGATAACATCTTCCCTGCACCGATCCTTTATCACCATGTCAAAGCCCACAACGGCCACCCATTGAACGAGCTTGTTGGCTATCTAGCCAAGGTCGGTGCAGCCGATGATTCTCGTACAGGTCAGCCTCCGCGTGCTGTTGTTGAAGCCTTTGTCCAGCTTGACCTGTCATGGCTCTCAGCTGCTGGCGCCGCCACAGCTTCCCAGGCTTTGCCCGTTGTAAATGGTCAGTTCCTGCAATGGACGCAAGCGCAGTCCTTCAGCCCCTGTAAGCTTGCGCCGTCGGACATCATTCCCATGACCGAGGTTTCGATAGGGGCTAGTGGGTACAATTTGGCCTCTCTTGAAGTCAAGTTTGCGACAATAAACATTCAAGGACTTCAAGACAAAACAACGTATCTTGAAGAACAGTTCGATTTCTGTAATCTGAACATTGTTTGCATCCAGGAGGCAAAAACTCCACCTGGAGTGTGCTGCTCGAAGCGCTTCTTGCGGCTTTCGACCCCCTCAGCCAGGCACTTTGGCACCTCCGTCTGGATCAACCGACGCCTCGGTATCGCCACAAGCGGAGGACAGCCCATCCGTGTAACGGAAAGTGACATTCATGTACACATTGAAGATCCACGATTGTTACTTGTCACTGTCGAGACCGCGGGTTTTCAATTCGCTCTCTTCTCGGCTCATTGCCCCCACACTGGGCAGCGAGCGAGCTGACGCTGCAGCCTTCATTGCCCAGCTTGCCCAAGCACTACGCCAGCACAAGCGTGCAGCCCTTGTGATCGGGGGTTGCGACCTAAATGGCCGGCCGCCGCCGCACATCATAGGAGTGACGGGCGATCTGGAGTGCGGTGACCCGGACGAGTCGGGCCGTGAGGCTGCAGAGCCTTTCCAAAAGTTGCAGTTGTGGATGCCAACCACCTTTGGCAATCTGCATGTCGGTACCTCGTATACATACCGACACCCCGCCGGAACACAACACCGGATAGATTTTCCTGTAGTCGGGGGCAGGCTGATTGTAGAGGAAATCCGCACCGAGGTATCCCACGATGTCGACCTTGGCAACGCCCGAGATGACCACTTTCTTGTCACCTGCCAGCTACGTGGAGCCCTTGGGCAGACTGGAGCTGTGCAGAGACTGTGGCGGCCAAGATACGATGTTGATGCCATGATGACACCGGAGGGCCACGCACTGATTGCGGCGGAAATGAAGCATTTCGTGTCACCGCAATGGACCGTCCATCCCGATGAACACTGCCGACAGATTACCCAAAAGCTCCAACAGATAATGAAGGATCACTTCCAAAAGCCTGCCAATGCACCGCGTGCCTCCTTCATACCTGGTGAGATTTGGGAGCAACGTGAGGCCAAGCTCGGGTTTAAGAATAGAACCCGGCATCGTGCAAGCCTGTGGCAGGACCTGCTTGTCCGGGCCTTTAAGCAATGGCAGACATGCAACGACTACTCTGTGACGTTGCTTGTTGCTAAAGAGGGCATCCTTTACCAAGTAGCAGCTGCGGCCGTCCGGTTTGCGACCTGGAGGATAAGAAAGGGGATCCGCCAGGCTAAAGCCACTTGCCTGAAGACACTTGTCCTAAGAAACGGCGCACGATCGGCTGATATCCTTAGCGCTGCCAAGAAAGCGGGCATAGGAGGGGCCAAGGTCAAAAAGCCATTTCGACCTATGCCGCATCTGCTCAAGGCCGATGGGACATCTGCGGCTAATCGCCAAGACAGAGACGAAGTAAGGCTCGATCATTTTGGCCAGCAGGAGTGTGGCCATACTGTCGCAGTCGACAAGTTTCTGCTGCAGCCACCACAGCCCCTGCTCCTTGATGCTGAACTCGACTGGCGAAGCGAGCATGTCCCTAGCGCCGGTGCCCTTGAGGCCATCCTCCGGAGCATGCCTCGACACAAGGCAGCGGGCTTGGACTCAGTACCAGGCGAGCTGCTACGAGCGGCCCCCGGCCCCATGTCGCAAGCGCTGCACCCGCTGATGGTGAAATCCATGCTCTGCCTGCGCCAGCCTCTGCAATGGAGAGGAGGCATTTTGTTTGAGGCGTGGAAGCATCACGGCAGCCAACGCGACGCCTCATCGTATCGCTCGCTGTATGTTGCTTCGGTTGTTGGTAAGGCGTACCACAAACTGCAGCGACGCATGGTGCAGAGCGAGGTGCAGCAGTCGCTGCACGCGTTCCACCTCGGTGCCAAGAAGAACACGCCGGTTGTCATGCCAGCACTTTACGTTCTTGCGAGCCAGCGTGCGGGCGAGGCACAGCAAATGTCCACTGCTGTGTTATTTCTTGACACACATGCGGCATATTACCGCCTGGTCCGGGACCTTGCACTGGGCAGCATATATGACGATGTGACTGTCATCCGGCTTTTCCGCCATTTTGGGCTTGACGAGGAAGAGCTGCAGGAACTGATGGAAGTCGTACGCAGTGGAGGTACATTTGCGGATAACGCCATCCCTGCCACAATCCGGCACGCCGCTAAAGACACGCACCACCACACATGGTTTGTTACGCCGCACACCAGCGGCACCCTCCTCTGTAAGACAGAGGCAGGGAGCCGACCAGGGGAGTCGTGGGCCGACACCGTCTACAGCTTTATATATTCACGAATCCTATCACGGATCGCTGAATATGCACATGGGGAATGCCTCCTCCCTGACTTCAGCCATGACGCCGCGTCGGGCATCTTCGCCCCGAAGGGTGGCGGCGAAGGCATTGGATGCCAGGACGCCACTTGGGCCGACGACAGTGCGTGGCCGCTGATTGCCCATTCCCCAGCAGCGTTACTTGCGAAGGCCGGACGCTTAGCGTCCATTGTGTTAAGCCAATGCCGCGGCCACGGCATGCAGCCCAATCTTGGCCGCAACAAGACGGCGCTCATGTTCCAACTCAGAGGCAAAGGGGCGGTGAGGGCCCAACGCGAGTGCTTTAGCAGCGGCAAAGCCTCTCTGCGCCTCGCAGACCTTGACGTTGACCTGCCCGTCACCAATCAGTATAAACACCTTGGAGGACTGATTGACAGTAGGCTGTCCCTTGCCGGGGAAGCGAGAAGACGCCTTGCTGTTGCGAGCCAAGCCTTCGACCAGGGCAAGGCCCTGCTGTTCTTGAACGACAGCATACCGCTGGAGACACGTGCGTCTCTGCTACAAGTTGCGGTGACATCCACCTACCACAATCTGCCGATCTGGATTCCTGAAGGCCGTAGCTGGGAGATGCTACAAAGCGGATATACGCGTCTTGTTCGCAAACTCCTCAGCAAACGACTGCCAGGCGAGCATCTATTCCGCATGCCTGCTGCCCTCGCACATGTGATCACAGGATGTTTTCCCCTTGATTTCCTTGCGAGGAAAGCACGTCTGAGCCTGCTGTGCTCCATGTGCAAGGCGGGGCCGGCCGCTCTGTGGGCTGCCCTCCAAGAGGAACAATCGTGGTTCGCAACTGTACGCAGTGACTTAGAGTGGCTTTGCGACAAGGTCAGACACAACTGGCCGCTACGTTGTGAGGCGGCTTGGCCAGAGTGGAGCAATCTGCTCCGGACCCGTCCGGACTGGTTTAAAGCACAAGTCAAAGCCGGCCTCCAACGCGAATTTGTATGTTTTGAGAGAACCCAGGCAGTCTACGCCGCTCTATGGGCTCTTCACAAGCGCGCCCAGCCTGCGGTCTCCGATGCTGCCCCTGTAGTCGAGGCCCAATGGTTTTGCCCACCCTGTGCCAAATGCCTCAAGACAAAGGCTGCGCTTGCAGCGCATTTTTTTAAGACCCACGGCCGTCGAGCACGCTACCGAGCAGTTGTCCAGGGCACTCTGTGCCGCGCGTGTGGGCGCCAATACTGGAGTTCCAACCGGTTGGCGCGGCACCTCCGAGACTCTCCTAGCTGCGTTGCTGCCCTCCGTGCAAACCGCCTCTTCTCTGATACCGTTGTCCCCGGTTTCGGCAGTGCAGCATGGCGGCGAAATGATATTGAACATTTCAATCCGACAGGCCCCCAACAGCAGACTGCAGCCATGCCCAAGCAGTCCAGCGAGGACTGGGATGGCGCACAGCGTCAAGCTCATGCTGAGCTCTCCGATGCCTTGCTGTCAGAGGCCCTACCAGCAAGCCCCTGTGAAATTGCGCGCATCATCCGAGCTACACTTGCAAAGTTCCCCCTCTTTGAGGATGAAGCCAAGGATCTAGCCGAGTTTGTCCTCTGTGAAACCAGGGAAGTTCGTGATGTTCTTCTAGCCGAATCATGGAGTGACGAAGTAGCTAGTGCAGTAGATGATGCCATGCAGCAGGTGCTTCTGAATGTCTGGGAATCGCCCGAGGATGTATCTGTTCCAGAACGTCCACTGCCCAAATATCGCGACCTTGAGTTTGATGTTCAGGGAGTGTCTTGGGACAGTATATGGGCTAAGTGCTCTCCTGTGCACGGGACCCCATCTGGAGGCCAGTACGTGCTCCCTTCCGACTGGGAAGCTGAATTGTTGGAGGGAGTCAGGCGAGCCGTGCAACAAAACCTGTGGAGCATTGTGCCGAAGCCGTTACAGCTGGCATGGACAGACATCCTCAAAGGATACCGTCCTCACCTAGCTGCTGATGCGAGCTTTTGGCGATTAACCCTCGCCAAGCCTTTTTGGCCTTTGGCGCCCGAACTTGCAACCTAATTAAGCTGCGAACTCCTCTGACAGCGTGCATAGCAAAGCAAAGTGCAGGCATGGCGACTGAGAGGTTCAGCCGTCAAGATGTTGCCTTTGAGCGAGTGCCCACACGTGCAGTCAGCCTGTGGGGGTTCCGTGGAGTTTCGGCTTCGTCGAGGGAGCACATCCGATACACTGTGGCGGCACTTGCAAGGGTGTCCTAACGCAAGTTTAGAAATGAGAACTAGAAGACAATTGGCCCGAAAGCATCATCAGCGAAGAGTGTTACGCTACGTCATAGAATCCAGTGTATAGGGTCATAGAGTCACCGAGTCAAAAGCACGGAGTCACAGAGTCGGAGTGTCACATACAGTCAAGAGTCGTACAAGTCATAGTTCATAGAGTCATCGAGAAATAGAGTCGAGTACATGTCAAGCACAAGTCATAGTTCAAAGAGTCATAGAGTCATATAGAGTCATAGAGTCACAGTGAGACAGAATCATAGAGTCATAGTGTTATAGAGTCATAGCGTCAGAGTGAGAAAGAGTCATAGAGTCATGGAGTCATCTATGTACCACGCACTTGACTTGATGTAGTTCACTCTATGAACACTAATGTTCAGGTTTAGCGGGTTTAGGGTATAGTCCAACATGACGCAGAAGTCTTCCTTTCCTAGCTCCGGAACCTCACTATATAGACATCCCTGATTACTGTGGTTTCAACGTGACTCTATGACTCTATGCATGGTCACTTTATGTCGCAGCAGTAGTAGTAGTAGTAGCAGTAGTAGTAACGGCAGTACCAGTACTAGTAGTGATAGTAGTGGTAGTCGTAGTAGTTGTAGTAGTAGTCGTCGTCGCGTAGTCGCAGTCGTGGTCGTAGTAGTAGTAGTAGTAGTAGTTGTAGTTGTTGTAGTTGTAGTTGTTGTTGTGGTACTAGTAGTAGTAGTAGTAGTAGTAGTAGCAGTAGCAGTAGTAGCAGTAGCAGTAGTAGTGGTAGTAGTAATAGTGGTAGTAGTAGTAGTAGTACTAGTAGTAGTAGCAGTAGTAGTAGTAGTAGTATTCTTTTGTAGTAGTGGTAGTAGTAGCAGTAGTAGTAGTAATAATAGTTGTAGTAGTGGTAGTGGTAGTAGTAGTACTAGTACTAGTTCGAACACTCGACAACGCCAATCTCTGTGAAGGGTTGCAAGTTTCACCTCAATGCACATCAAAAGTAATAACTTTACCTCGCGTTCGAACACTCGACAACGCCAATCTGTGTGAAGGGTTGCAAAATTCATCTCAATGCACATCAAAAATTGCAACTTTACCTCGCGTTCGAACACTCGACCACGCCAATCCCTGTGAAGGGTTGCAAAATTCATTTCAATGCACATCAAAAATTGCAACTTTGCCTCGCGTTCGAACACTCGACCACGCCAATCCCTGTGAAGGGTTGCAAAATTCATCTCAATGCACATAAAAAATTGCAACTTTACCTCGCGTTCGAACACTCGACCACGCCAATCCCTGTGAAGGGTTGCAAAATTCATTTCAATGCACATCAAAAAATGCAACTTTACCTAGCGTTCGTGCATTCGACCATGCCAATCCCTGTGAAGGGTTGCAAAATGCCAATCCCTGTGAAGGGTTGCAAAATGCAGTTGAGCTGCGCCCAAACCCTGTGAAGGGTTGCGCGGCGCCCGCAAAATGTGTAACTTTACCTCGCGTTTGAACGCCCGAGGAGGCGAATCCCTGTGAAGGGTTGCGCGGCGCCCGCAAGAAGTGTAACTTTACCTCGCGTTTGAACGCCCGAGGAGGCGAATCCCTGTGAAGGGTTGCGCGGGCCCTAAAATGTGTAACTTTACCTCGCGTTTGAACGCCCGAGAGTTCCAATCCCTGGGAAGGGTTGCGCGGTGCGCCTAAAATGTGTCACTTTACCTAGCGTTTGAACGCCCGAGGCAGCGAATCCCTGGGAAGGGTTGCGCCGGGCGCCTAAAATGTGTAACTTTACCTAGCGTTTGGGCGCTCGAGGAGGCGAATCCCTGGGAAGGGTTGCGCGGGCGCCTAAAATGTGTAACTTTACCTAGCGTTTGAACGCCCGAGGCAGCGAATCCCTGGGAAGGGTTGCGCGGGGCGCCTAAAATGTGTAACTTTACCTAGCGTTTGGGCGTCGAGGAGGCGAATCCCTGGGAAGGGTTGCGCCGGGCGCCTAAAATGTGTAACTTTACCTAGCGTTTGGGCGCTCGAGGAGGCGAATCCTTGGGAAGGGTTGCATTCCCGATGGACGACGACGGTGCCACCCCTGGCTTTAGAAGAGAGATTTAGATACCGAGATGTAGAGAGTATGTAGAGAGGTAGAGAGTAAGTCAGAGAGTAAGTCAGAGAGTAAGTCAAAGAGTAAGTCACAGAGTAAATCACAGAGTAAGTCAAGAGTAAGTCACGAGATGTAGAGAGTATGTAGAGAGGTACAGAGTAAGTCAGAGAGTAAGTCAGAGAGTAAGTAAGTCAGAGAGTAAGTAAGTCAGAGAGTAAGTCACAGAGTAAGTCACAGAGTAAGTCAAGAGTAAGTCACAGAGTAAGTCACAGAGTAAGTCACAGAGTAAGTCAAGAGTAAGTCACAGAGTAAGTCACAGAGTAAGTCACAGAGTAAGTCACAAGTAAGTAAGTAAGTATCAAGTGTAGAGTCAAGTATCAAGTGTAGAGTAAAGTATGGAGTCAAGTAAGTTGATTCTATGTCTGTCATCTATGTACTCAACTGCGGCGTTCCACACGGAAGAACCCTTCGCGAAGCTTTCGGGAAAAAGGGACTACAATCCGAAGAGCGGAAGCCTCGGGAGGCTTGGAGACTTCTGGTGTCCTCGCCACCGTTTCCCTCGGCATCACGTCGACGTTTACAGCGGCTCAGCTGCACCTGGCAGCCAAAACAAGCCCTCAACCTTACATCCACACAAAGCCGAAGCCTTCAGAAACCCCAACAACCCTCGACCCTCAACAATAAAGGGCTTTGGCTTCATAAACTTGAGCCTTCAACCCTAAACCTCAAGCTTTAGAACTCGAGGTCAGCAAGGCAGTGGGCCACGAGGGGCGGCATGCCCACCACGTGGTCCTGAACCAGGGTCCGGTGCTTAAAGTACCGGCTCCCGTTGGCGGCTTTGGAATTTGGGGCTTCCGACCCAGGGCTCAGAATGCGATTGTTTAGCCGCCTGGAGAACTTAATCTTGACCCTGGAGACCTCACGTCAGCAGGGTTTTCACACGAATCTTTGCGTTCAGGACTCAGCAGGGAGTCCGAGTTTACTTTTGCAGTCTCTCAAAACTAGGAGCCCTTACTTGATGTGTCGGTAGACTTAGTTGCTAGTGCGCGAGCCCGAACTTCATGGGTTGGTGGACCCAGTACGTGCTGCTGGCAGTAGGGCCAGTAGGGCAACTCCCATGGGCATAGATTCTTAAAGCCCAAATCACGGTACCTTTTGCTCTACCTTGAACTGCCCAGAAATGCTTCAAAACCCAATTAGATGCCCATCGAAGCCACTCTACTTGAACCCAGCATCAGAACCGACAGGGCAGGAACATGCTCTTCTCAGGCAACCCAAGACGACTCGCTTTAGGTTTGGGGACTTGTTCGCGCCGTGACTCATGGACCCCAGACTCACATTCAACAGGAGAACTGCCAGGGCCGATGCAGAGGTTCTCTGGCTTGAAAGCTGGAAGGCCTTCAAACTGTACAGAAAGCTTTTTTCCCTGAGCTTTTGCGTCAACCGTTTTGTTCCCCTTTGGATAACCCTTCCAGCAGTTGTTACATGTTCCTGACTGATTATAGGGCACCTGCCGCGCCAAATTCTTGCACCAGGGGTATCGGTGTAAGCACCCGGTCCCATAAGCCCACAGCGACACGTGCGGGTCCTTTTTGGCGCTGATTTGAACCAAGTTGCTTACCTCAGCAACCAGATCATCTTCTTCATCGCAGGCTGCATGGTTCTTGCGGTTTTGCCGGCTGTGTCAGCAGCAGAATCATATCCAGCCTGAAGTACAAGGGACTTGTTCTTCAGAGTACATCGATCATGAATTTCGGATCGCTCATGGCGCAGATGTTCTGTGACAGCAAGAATGTGTCAAACAATCGAGATTCTTTTGCGTAGAAGCTGTTTGGCTTTTTCACTCGCATGCCCATAGCCACCACAAAATGCGAAGCCCCGAAACACCTGAGGCATCATCACCGCCCGGTTTATGTTCATCCAGAAGGAAACGGGTCACGATTTTCGATCTGGGATGGCCTGGGCGGAGCTTGCCATCATCTATGTCGTCGCCAGACTGCAGGTCCCTAAACGCCAGCTTCAACCCCGTTAGCGTTGAATTAGAATGAACAAGCAGAGGGCGTCATCAGATTTCCCCCCTACCCTCAAGTTCCAGATCCTTGTCTGAATGACACAGGAAGAAGCACATGCCATCATTTGTAGCCGAGTGATGTTGATTCGAACTATGCCAGAGCCGCGGCATGGACAGCAGCGGAGCGTCATCAAGAACAAGCTGCCAGTAGTAAGCTCAGTATATCCAGGAGTCCGGCGTACTTGCGAGCCCTAAACCCTAAACGAACACCTAAACCCCACCTCGAAGCACAGCAAGGTAATTCACCTCAGCCGCGCCATCATGATTGCCCTGTTCTCGCCGGCGTTGCGGCGGTAGCTTGATGCCACAGATGGCGTTCAAGATCATTTGGGGTCCTTCTTAGAAAGCTCCAAACTCCATTTTGGCTATGATAAAATACAGGATCCCAAAAAGGCCTTTGTTTCGAAAGACGCCCCATTAGGCATCCCGTTCAGTGTTGCCTTAAAGGTTTGCATCTCCATGCTGCACTACAACCGAAATTACACAAGTCTCGAAGATTTCACCAGACTCCCGGGTGGGAGTCGCTTCGTGCCTGCGAATACGATGCAAACTCCTCGCTCTTATGCCGGAATACGAAAGGACAACACCGGAAGCACCTGAACGCCTGACTGATTCATGGTGTGTCTGGCTATGAGTTTGCTGGGGTGCAGAAAGGAAGGCACCAAATTCTGCAGGCCTTGGATGAGAACGGTGTCAAGATGCGCACTCATAGAAACTAGATGTTGTAGACGCACACGATCCAACATCCCGAAACTTTAGAAGCTCATGGACAACCCACACCCCCCAGCCCCCCTGCTCTACCATAGGACAAGGAAATCTTTGCACATGTTTTCCACAAATGGAAGCCCGAATCTCACCAGCCCGTCTCTCGGCCCAGGTTGGGGTATGGGCTCAGCCTCAAGGAAGCTGCAGTGACTGCGATTCCAGCTAACACTGCGCATCCTCCTCCATCTACTAGGACGACCACTGCTACCGTACTACTGCTAGTGGTGGCAACTGCTCCTGCTGCTGCTACTTCTGCACTGCTACTACTAGTACTAGCACTCGCACTAGTACTAGAACCAGCACTAGTACGACTACTACTACTACTGCTACTACTGCTACTACTACTACTACTACTACTTGCTACTACTACTTACTAGTGCCGCTACTACTACTACTACTACTACTACTCCTACTACTCCTACTCCTACTGCTACTGCTACTGCTACTACTACTACTACTACTACTACTACTACTACTACTACTACGAGGACTACTACAAGTACTACAAGTACTACAAGTACTACTGCTAGTGCTATTGCGACTGCTAGCTACCATTATCACTAACAATACTACTACCACCACGTCTTCTACTTATGCTTCTACTCCTACTGACACCACCGCAGTCGTCGAACACTGGAATTTGCAGCAGCATAGTCTATCTTGCTGTTGATATTCACCAGGAAGTATCTCTGTCATTGTCGCTATGGTTTTGGCCACCACCCTCAGTAAAGTGCTTGCTCCTGCTCATGCTGATGTCAAAGGCGGCAACAGTGGAAGCAGAGGTAGCCGCAGTAACAAGTAGTCGTCGTCGTGGTGGTGTCCGGATCAAGATTGTGATGGTCATCGTTGTTAGAACTATTCGTGCTGCCATTACATCATTTACCACAACTACACCGCAGCTGCAGGTGTCTATGGGTTTCGGAAGCCTTAGGGCATTGCAACAAGCATCTTCACACTACAAACATCCCATGTTTAATTGCTTGGAGTGGCGGATTTGCAGTGGCCGTGGTTGCGTGTAGCCTGTTGGCCATCGGGTGTGAGAATTGAAGCACACTGATCGTTTTCGGCTTTCCTGCTTCTTCTTGAAATCCCTCTTTGTTGGGGACCGTAAAGCCCTGAACCCTGGGCCCTGGCGTCAAGCGCTTTCACGACACAAGCACAAGACTCCTGAAGGAGGGCATCATCCTGGTCGTGGGCGGATTGCGGGGCGCTGTTGCATTAGTCATGGGCCTGAAGCTTGCCAGCAGCAACAGCATATGTAACATGTAATGGCTGAGTGGGGTACCTTTAGCCTTTTAGACATACATATAACCCAACCCAGAATCAAAGCTTCAGGGTCGCCTTCACAGGATGAGGCTTTGTTTGAGCAAAGCATACGGGGTTTGCACGTCTTGGACTGCGGGATTGAACTATAGGCAGAAGCTTTGGGGCTTGGAGGCTTGGAGCTAAGGGGTGCGGGCTGGTGTGTTGGGGTTGGGATCAGGGGTTGGGCGTCGCAAGAAATTCGACAAGTTCCAGGTGTTGCATCCGAGACTTTGAGGATCACGCTTGAAAGCCTCAAGGAAACATGTGAGACCCCCCCCCTCACGTCTCCCCAGCCCCTACATTGAAACTTTTGGATCACGTTCAACTCCAGCCAAAGAAGCTCGAGAATGCAGGATTGTGCTGGACAACAAGTTCATCGACATCGAGACTTGCTCGTCAGAGTGGCCAGCGGCCGAAAATGTTGAAAGAAAATCAGGCTTCAACGTTTGGTGTGTGTCGTTGAGTGGCTCTCTTGTAGTATGAAAGCCTTCCCGGAAGCTCCAAATCTCCATCTTGCAGACTCCTGCCGCAACCCTAAAGTTCTCAGGTGCTTGGGGCGCCGGTACTTTAGGGTTCAGGATTTGCTAAGACGGACTTTTCCGACAACGCATTTCACGTGATCACTAGCGAAGCCTCGAGACTGCGATCGTAGTCCGAAAGGCATCAGTCAGAACGCCTCAGCCCTCTGCACGTCACAAGTTGTATGGGCCAAGCCAGGTCGTTTTTTCTCAGGATGAGAGCGGTAGTTCTGACGCACGTTACGTCTGGATCCTCATTATCATAGACCTCTCTCAAACTGCTGCCTTACAGGGGGCCCGAACTTAAGCCCTTATTGCATCTCAAGGTCGCCATGCTTGGGTTCTCGGGGTTGAAGGCGGGTTCTGCCTCTTGAACTTGGAGTGAGGGTGCACATGAAAATCTAGTAGGATTGTCAGAACTGGTGGCATATAGGGTTTGGGGGTTGGAGGGCAGAGTTCCAAGGAGACCAAGCAGATGATCGCCTTCCATATCTCTGGTATCGTTGTGTTGACACTCCTCATCAACGGGGTGGCCATTGAGACCATATACAACAAATTGTGGCCAGGCTTGCAAAGGAAGAGAGCTGCCTGCCGCGCCACGTTCAGAAAAAGAGCAGGGAGTGCAGTTCATGTACACTTAAGAAGCATAACAACGCTCTAGATCTTGTGCGCTTCCATCCGACAGCCGAAAATGAAATTCCATTCCAGGCACGTTTACCCAGCGAATCCGTACAACACCATCTACTTGCGGAAGATGTTTTCCAAGATTGAGGAGCAGGGAACCTGCTCTGAAAGGTTCTTGACGTGGAGTTTCTCGACTTGGGGTTACTAGTTCTCGGGGCATCTTGTTGACAGGTGTACCCTCAAAGGGACCATGAATTGGAACAGGCCAAACGTAGCTAAGGGTCGAACTGCATTTCGAGTATCACTGGTATGCATGCCTTGTTTGCCACAGGACCTCTCGCGTCAGACAGGGTCCTACCTCCTGAGCACGCAGCCATTCTTCGCGGATGTGAGGTGGCACGGGCTCCTGCGTTGCGTGCCTGCCCTGCAGATTTAAAGATAGACGGCTTCGGGTTTTGAGTTGGGAGTCAAGGAAGCAGCTAAAGTTTTCAGAGCGCTGCTTTCAGCGTGCTGATTGGCGGGAGGCAGGTCGGCTCACTTCCCAGAGAAGGCACTCTCCTGGAAGAGCGTGCTGCAGTTGAAGAAAACTCCGTTGCATAACGTTGCCGGAATTTCGGAAGTAACAGCCCCTCTCATCAAACAATCCATAGCAGGATCCTCAAGCCACAGACCCCTCAAGAAGGGATCCCCAATGTTGAGAAGGTGCCCTGCTTCCACAGTATCAAGCTTGACGCCAACGGCATTCCTTCCTCCTATGCCATTGACAATGTCTCCGCTGTCATGGGCATCCTGGCGGTGGAGGCAGATGTACTCAGCCGCAATTTCGTCAATTTCGTTTTGGAAAGTCAGGGCCTCCAACAGCATTTTGGTTTCTTGCAGGATTACTTTCAACAGCCCTAAACTTTAAACACGAAAACGCATTTCTAGCCAAGGTGAGCGGCGTGGTGACCACCATAGGCTCTAACTTCGAGAAGAGATGGTTAGAGAAGCGCGGCAGTTGCGCAAAGATTCTGGCGGACCTTATGCACAATACCAGCGGCAAGCTTCAGCGCAACGATTTCATGGACCATGTGGCGTACAGCTCGGAAGGAGTCCTACAGCAGGTGGCCTAAGGAATGTTTCTTTAGAAGAACCAAGGATACATGGTCCGTATCTGGGGCTCTACAGAGTCATATTTGGGGGTTCGTTTTGTTCATGCGGTTTTGGAATCGTGTTGTCAGGGCTCGCACATAGACGGCAGCGCTTGAGTGAGTCAACGCACACTGGATCAAATTTTGCCACATCATGCTGTAACGTCTTTAATATGCCTCTCACTGCCACTTGTTTTGAGGACAAAAGTGTTTTTACTGTTGCTACTCAACGCCGTTGGTGGTCGGCGTGAAATGCTAGTGCTGGTTAGTCATAGCAGTGCTGGTGCTGGTGCTGCAGGTCGTAGAGGTAGTGGTCCTAGCAGTCGTAGTCGCAGTAGCAGTAGTCGTCGTCGCAGTCGCAGTCATAGTCGCAGTAGTAGTAGTAGTAGTAGTAGTAGTAGTAGTAGTAGTAGTAGTAGTAGTAGTAGAAGTAGTAGTAGTAGTAGTAGTAGTAGTAGTAGTAGTAGTGGTAGTAGTAGTAGTGGTAGTAGTGGTAGTAGTGGTAGTAGTAGTAGTAGTAATTAGTAGTAGTAGTAGTAGTAGTATAGTAGTAGTAGTAGTAGTAGTAGTAGTAGTAGTAGTAGTAGTAGTAGCAGTAGCAGTAGTAGTAGCAGTAGCAGTAGCAGTAGCAGTAGCAGTAGCGGTAGCAGTAGTGGTAGTGGTAGTGGTAGTGGTAGTGGTAGTGGTCGTCGTATTAGTAGTGGTAATAGTCATTATCAGAAAAATACTAGTAGTTTTCTCCGCGGTAGTAAGAGTAGCAGCGCAAGCGGTTTTCGTTGGCATCACGCCAGAAGTATCGTTTTACAACCTGTGCCCTTAGCAACCCTGAGGTGGACAGCAAGCCAGGAACTTTCATTTCTGCCCAGTCACTGCTCGCGCTTTGCGAGTCGAAGTGGCTCGGTTGCTCCTAGGGTTGATTCCCTCTGTAATTGTGCATGTGGTTTCTGGTTCGTAGAGTGACTCAGCTACACTGGCTAGGTAAGAATTCGGTCGAAAAGAGCCTTGATTTGTTTTTCAGGAGCAATGTAGACTGAAGTTTCAGAAAGAATAGCGTGCTACTTAAACACAGCACCTCTTCAAGCTTTCAAGCAGTTAGGATTCACAGACACCGACCGCTCCGGTTGCCATTCTTCCAAGTACTCCAGTGCTGCTCACCTCATACTTGTTATGCCCATAAAAACTCTGCATGATGCATCAGATCAACAGCAGCAGATTCAAGCATTGCAAGCTTGTTTGTGCCGTTGTGTACTGATGACGATGATGATGATGATGATGATGATGGAAGTGATGATGGTGAACAGCAACAGCAGCAACAACAACAACGATGGAAAATATGAACCACCATCATACGACAACGAAAATGGTAACCATGATAAAAATGATAATGACAGTAATACTAATACTAGCACTATCAAAGATAACAACACAAAGAAGAAGAACAACAACAATACCACATCAGCAGCAGCAGCAGCAACAGCAACGACAACAGTCACAAATAGAACCAGAACCACAACAACAGCAGCACAAGTTCAACAGCAACGACACCCTAAGCAGCAACACCACGGTCAGCATCACCACCGCCATCAGCAGCAGCAGCAACAGCAACAACTACTGCTGCTACTACTACTACTCCTACTACTCCTACTCCTACTCCTACTACTACTACTACTACTACTACTACTACTCCTGCTGCTGCTACTACTACTACTATACTCCGACGACAACTACTACTACCTAAACAGCGCTAAATTCATTGTGCGATTAACGCCCCAATAGTGCAAAAGTGGTGGTAAATAATGCTGAAACACTGCAAGATAGTGCAAAATCAATCGTGCTAAATTGTGTGAGTTAAATACAAGTGTAGGAAGCAAAATTCCTTGTCATGACCAAAACGGCCAAATTACGACTTCGCGGCCAGCGAGTCCAAGACAACTATATACCTGCAGAAAAGCTCTCAGACCTAGACAGTGCCCGAACTGCCAGCGGTTATGGCTTGAAAATGAAGTTGAACGAACTACTGCTAGTGCTACTACTACTACTACTACTGCTACTGCTACTGCTACTGCTACTGCTACTACTACTACTACTACTACTACTACTACTTTTACTACTACTACTACTACTACTACTACTACTACCACTACTACTACTACTACCACTACCACTACCACTACTACTACTACTACTACTACTACTACTACTACTACTACTACTACTACTACTACTACTACTACGAGTACTACTACGACTACTACAACTACAACGACTACTACTACTACTACTACTACTACTACTACTACTACTACTACTACTACTACTACTACTACTACTACTACTACTACTAGAACTACTACTACGACAACTACGACTAGAACTACTATAGGAAGACAACGGCGACGGTCACGTGGGAACCAAGACAAGCTAAGGCCATACTGCGTCTCGGTGAAGGTCACTTCCAGGGCCCGCTCCCGTGTCTCTGCTTGAAAGGCCATGACTTCTCGTGACGTAGTGTACTTTTTGGGGCCTACGAAGCTTTTCGGGACATGGTTCTGCCTTTGCAGGGTTGGGGGTTTCGGGTTTAGGTGTTGGTGGCGCGCATGGATATCACCAGCAGTGAATGTGGAAAGGACTTGTACCGACACTTGCGCGTTCCCTAACGACTATGTGACATGTCCATGTATACGTGGGCACATCTGTGCTTGTTTTCAAACTTTTTGAAGGTACAGCCTCCAATCTAGCTTCGGGTGCGGCTGTCCGTAGTGTTCTGGAGCAGGATTGTTAGTTCAGGCCTGGGAGGCTCCGCATCGAGTCATGGCCTTCCGAGGTATCTATGTTGGCCTTGTCACGGATGCCAGATGGCCAGAAGAGGAGACCTGGTTGTACGCTTAGTTTGTCATGCTAGCAAATGAAAATCTTCGTCTGCCTCCAGCTTGCCAGTTTGCACTGATGGCTTTACTATGCTTTTCGCTATTGCTACGTTTTTATGTAGCCGTGCTCATTACAGTGATGGCAACTCATTTTTCTGCTGTCGTCCCGTGGAGAACAGCGAAAAGGAGAGCCTGTGAAGCTGCAGGAGATGTCATCATCCTGCAGCTTCCTCCCTCAATGTCGCCATCTCAGCCTGGCTAGGGAGGGGTCCAGCTCTGCCACTCTTCCTGGACAACCCCCTGCAAGGATAACCGTATTCTAGTTTGCCCTGCACAAAACCATGCAATCTGTCCTCACCAATTCCCTGCTCAAGTGCTTGGGGCTGCCACAGCTTTCATGGCTGGGATCAGTTACTTTCTGAAGTGTGAACGGGAGAGCGCTTCAGGGTTCGCGGTTGGTGTTGGGGCCCGTTTCCAAGAGCAAAACCCGAAATCCAGAGAACAGAATACCGAGTTTCAAGACAAACAGCACCTTAAATCGCACAACAAAGAAACAGCACAGTTTCCTTCTGCATCCCAGGTCACAATGCCACCTGCCTCGATGTTGCAACAGGGGCTTTGCACAGCGGCTCTGTACAATTGCAGGAGCGGCTCTCGGCAGTCCCTGACGGTGCAGTTGTGGCTCGGCCCGCTCAGGATTCTTTGAGGTTTCTGGTGGTCTCAGTCGTAGTACGAACAGTAGTAGTAGTAGTAGTAGTAGTAGTAGTAGTAGTAGTAGTAGTAGTAGTAGCAGTAGCAGTAGCAGTAGCAGTAGCAGTAGCAGTAGCAGTAGTAGTAGTAGTAGTAGTAGGAGTAGGAGTAGGAGTAGCAGTAGCAGTAGCAGTATGTAAAAGACAGTAACACGGGCAGGCACAGCGCCCTTGTTTTAACTGCCTTAAGCAAGTCCAGCGGGCGTGACAGCCCGAACGTCTGCCCTAAGGCGTGCTGCGCACAACTAGTGCCGCAGGCTACGCGAAGCAACCTACGACTAACTGCCGTGCTCACTTGAGCCAAAAATGTTATGAACACGAATTATCAAAGCATGCAAAAAAGCACACAGCTTCACAGCCAGCCCGCAGACTATGTACAGTTACATTCGCCCCTCAGCCGAGAGCGCGACAGAGCCGTTAGGGTAAGCGGGCGGCCGGAGGCCGTAGAAACAGACCTACACACTACCCTCCTAAACACACTCTGCACGCACTACCGACTTTTCACGGCACTTACGGCACGAGGCTCTGGTACTGACACTGTACACAGCCTGCGCCGCACAGCGGCCACAGGGCTGGTGAAACAAGCAGCTGAAGCTGCGGCGTTACTCCACGCGCTTCGGGAGCACTACCGTGCCTCCCTAGCTACTACCGTCAAGAACCTATAGAGCGGTTACTCCACCCTGTCGTCCCATCGGGAAGCAGCTAGGTGCTGCGCCCAAAACTGAAAGCTAGCCACGGGTGGCTGGAGAGCGGAGCACAGTCCGCGACTTCCAGTCCACGGTCACTGTGGCTCCGGGTTATTCTGCACGGCAGGCGCTTGGACATTCGACGACTTCGCCTTGCCGCGCTGCTGACGCTGCGGCGCCTCAAACTCGTCCAGCTTGAGGGCCTTGCTCCATTCGACTCCGAAGGAGTCCAACCACTTCTGGCTGAACTCCGAAGCCAGGACGCTAGCGACAGCGACCCCGACTTCTGCGTTAGCTCTGGAGCTTGCGCTAAAGTTCAAGCTCCCGATCACAGAGCTAACGCTGAAGTCCGGCCTCGACACGAGCACCGACTTAGCGTGATGAATCCCAGTGAGCCCGCCTCCGATGCTCACGTCCGTGCGGTTCTCCGCGGCGTAAGCCGCTTTCACCGACGTGCCCTTGCCGACTCGAACCTGAGCCCCTGCAGAACCCAGCTCCTTCAGCGATTGCAGCTGGAGCTTGGTTCGGCTCGTTTGCGAGTTGTCGGCAAGGACGTGAGCTCGGGCGCCTCGCTCCAGCGAGGACACGAGGGCTCCAATCAAGGGTTTGCTGTCCAGGCTGTAGGCTCGCACGTAGATGTGCTCGCCATGGCCAGCACTGGCCAGCATCATCTGCACCACGCTGTGGTACTCGGGGAGGGTCAGAAACTTGATCCCAGCCCGCTCGAAACCATCTGGGAGCGGAAAGTCTCGGACGCGCCGCGCCTGGCTCGATAGGGGAGCCGCCGGAACCGGGGAATAGTGACACCCGCCACCCCTTGGCACCCACTGAGCTTGGAGATGCCATCAAGGCAGCCTTCCGAGGGACTGCCGACATTCCGCGCTCTTTCCGAAAGCGCCTTGGCTTTGGAAACCATCCCGGCTAAACACCCCTGCTCGAGAGCTGGGGCGCCGAGAATCGCGCGTGCGCGCCTGGTTGCGGCCGGGGCTGCAGACAGCACCGGGGCAGAGCTCGTGCCAGTCATGGCCACGAGTTGCCCCGCAGCTTCAACGGCACGTTCTATGTGCCCGCAACGTCCCTCGTTCAGGAACGCCCGGCAGTCGCAGCCTGCGCCTTCTGCGCCCGACCCAACCTTCACGAGGACTCTGTGCGCCCCGGACTTGGTCTTCGAAGCGACTTCAAAGACCGCTTCTCGGCCTTCCAGAGACACCAGAACAGCACTAGCAAAAGGGTTGCCGTTCATGGCGTGCATGAGGCGGTTAGTGGCGACACGTCCGGCCCACCACAGCACCACGGCCGCGAAGGTCCATAGCAGGACTACGGCCGTCAGACCAACTACTCGGACACCTCGAACGAGGATCCCGGAAGATTCCTCGATGAGGTCCTCCGCCGCAGTGGCAACGGCTGTGAGGCTAACGTGCGCCACCTCTCTGGCACCGCGCTCGACGGTGAAGAAGGTAGGTGCCAGCGCAGCGGCCACCAAACCCATCTTCCACCCGATGTTGCCCGTAGTAGCATGGGCGGCGCGATTGCGCGCTCTTCTAGAGAGAGCCCAGCCGGCAACTGCAGCGCCAATAGAGCGCACGGTCCCGAAGAACACACTTGGTCAGGGACGTGAGGAGGGGGGCACCGGGCGCCACTCTGTGGCCACCTGGGCCACGCAGTGGGAGCGCGAGAGCAGGTTGCCCGCCGAGCCTGGAAGAGTACGCCAAACCGGCGGCACCTCCGGCCCACCATCCTCGATGGCCGCCTCTGCTCGCACCTCCCTTTCCGCCCTTGCTGCCGGAACTGCGGCCCCCACTGGGTGCACCGCGCCCAGGGTCAGCACGACTCCACCACGCCCGGGCAGAGTCGTCAGAGAGCTCTGCCTGCCGGCGCTTTTCGGCGCGAAGCCTTTTTCGGTCGGAGCGGAGGAATTTCCTCGCATGCTCCGCCAGAGGGTCCGCATGGATGGATCTTTCGATACGCTCCATGCGGGTGCCCTCTGACTCGTCCGACGAGGAGCCTTCATCATCCTCGCCTTCTTCGGGTGGCATGCCGTGCGTTATGTAGCAAGCTGCGGACTTACTAGAACTGCATTTGAAACACAGTTTACGCCACAACATATTCCGCTCTTGGCATGATGCCCGCCCGCAGGTCCAGTAGGCGTTGGACATCGCGGCAGCGATCGCGTCTGACCTCTTCGTATAAAGGTACTCCTTTATACGTTCCTTGTGCTCTTCGAGCCATTGCTCGATGAACCACCCCGGCGCCGTTTGCAGGTCCACCGGGGTGCTCCAGTACAGGCTATCCTCGAAGATCCCCCGACAGGGGGCACCTCCGAGCTCGTCGGCGTCATGGTGCCGGCAGACATTGCGCTCCGGTGGGTTTGCGCGCCCACATTCGAAGCAGTCCCACCAGCCCCGTGGCCAGACCTTGCCCGTAAGGAGCGGCAGGCGATCGGGCGTTGGGCCAAGCTCGTTTTCATCGTAGTCCGGCCAGATTTCAAAAACTGGCCTGTCGGACAAAATCGCAGCTTGGTAGACGAACGCGCGCCTCCGGCGCCGCGCCAGCGCGAGGAGCTGTTCCAAAGTGTGGTCACCACCACCTTGGAAAAATTCCTTGATCTGGTCATCATGTTGCATATCGAGGGGGACCGTGAGCCTGGGGTCCACATCACGAGCACCGGGCCTTCCAGGCCCCGGCGGTGGAGCAGCATCCCAGTCCACATCCCTCCAATCGGCTCCAGGGACCTCATTGGAGAGCCCGTAGACTCCAGAGATCCTGTGCTGAGGAGCCGGCGTTTCCATGGTATCCTGCCATGTCGTGAAACGCTTCATGGGAGGGGGAGGTCCTTCAGGCTCCGACGGCCGCCGCTTGTCTGCGCCAGACGAGGAGGCGGACGAGCTGCCTCACGACTGGTGGCACCTCTGCGGGAACGAAGTCGGAGGTTACCAGTACAGAACAGTCGTGCAGGTCGTGGACGGCATGGTGGAATGCATGCTGGACGGGTGCGCAGGTTCGAACCACATCACGGAGGAGCTTCTCTGTGGGATCCTCAACAGGGCTGCTGCCTTGGGGATCGGCACGGAGGACCGGAGGTTTCCTGTCGTGAAGTTCGAGCGCTGGGTCCACCCGGAGTTCGTCCACGGAATCGCTGCAGGAAAACCGGTGCCCTTGAAAGGGGCCGTGGTGCTGAGAGTCCGTTTCCTTGAGGGACTCTCCCCGGATAACTGCAGCGAGGGTCCCGAGATCTTCGTGCGCTGCAAGATAGCCGCGAAAGGGACCTCTGATTGGCATGGCCTCATCCTCGGAGGCCGTGCCCTGGACTGTTCGGGGCGGCACACCTTGGGTTTCAAGCCCCTTCCTGACTGCCACTCCCTGGAGACCCTAGGGATCAAGATCCCCATATTCAAAAAAACTACAATAGGTCGCGGAAGGACCGGGCCTATGCCTTTGAGTCCAGGCTCTCTAGCCTCGACGGTGCTCTGTGCTTCGAGCCGGGGACCTGCTCCGGTACAGCGGGCTGGAACTCCTGGCCGGAGATGGGGTCATCGTGCCTGTGAAGAGGGACGGCAGTGAGGCAGTCCTTTCCGTGGAGTCCTCCAACTGCGAAGCGGTGCCTGGGTTGTGGCCCACAGGAGCCGAAGAGGGTTCGATCTTGCTGGTGGCCGAAGAGGACACGACTGTCTCTCCGGGTGCTGTCGTTGGCGAGGTCGACCGATCCGGACCGGGCTCGCGCAGACTACCGCATGTGAGTGTGGAGGTGTCGAGACTCTCTTCACGGACGACTCTACCTTCCCTAAATGCTTTGCGTGCGGGTCCACCGAGAGGACCGCCGTTTGTGGCCTTCAGGGCTGCGGCGCGTGCTCGCATAGCAGGGGTTGGCGAAGGGGTCTGAGAGTGGGGGCGGTCTTCGCCCTCGCAGCCGTAAGCACGGTTCTGCGGGACGGAGTCCGTGGTTACGGATCCGGATGCCGTCTCCTTCTTCGCCTCCATCCCTACTGAGGGCCAGTGGTGGCAGACGAGGGGTGGAATGGCTGGCCTCTGGAGCGGCAGGCCCCAGGAGGGTGATCCAGAGAATCGGCCGGATGTCGAAAGGCTTCCTTCCGTACAGACATGCCTCCTGAAGTCTTCTGGCGGCCCGTGGCGGCTGTGGCAGACCCGGGACCTTAGGCTTTGGCCCGAGTCTGTCGACTGGTCAACCGTGCCCGTCACGTCCGACGTCGCGGTCTTCCGAACGAAGATGGGGCCGCGCTGGGCT